CTGGCCACCGAGGAGGCCATAACGTCTCGAACCTGTACTAAGGCGCTCACCTGGACTTCGCGGACAGTCCCAGCAGAAGAGCTTACCCGGTTGGCTAAGGTACTGTTGGTGTTTGGCGGGGGGGAATTAGAGTCTCTTATAGCTACTGACTGACAGCAAGCTTTGGGAAAATAAAAGTCATCAGTGGGATTCGAACCCACCGCCTGATGATCTGATGAGCAGTAGCTTAACCATCTGGCAATTTCCGAGAATTGCTTTTGGCCGTTCATATTACGACGAAAACAAAATCATCAACCAAGTTATAATGCACAGAATTTTGCTCTGCAAAGACCAAGTGATTAAAAGGCTACAATAGTGCATCATGTAGCAAAAATGCACAAGGGGCCAACACACAATTCTCACTGGCAGCTTTTCCTTCGTAAATTAAAATTAATGCGCGCGCATCAGTATGGTAAAGGCCACGGACTACACGTCCGTCCGGACACGTCTCAACTCTTGAAGGTTGCACTACACCAATATACGCGCCAGTAGGAGTGCTCTGCCCAATTCAAGGAGAAATCTTCGCCAGACCAAGGCGCTGAAAAGTACCCCAAGAGTTTATTTGAAAAAGCAGAGATTGTGTGGCCCAAGAAATTGTGGGATTGTGGAAGAATGGCCCTGAATGAACTCCCCAGATTCAAACGCTCCCATCCCAGGGCGAAGCATAGAGAAATGCTACTGAAAAATTGTTCCAAGAGACTGAAAAGGTGGAGGGATGTCATTTGAAAAATGGCCGCTGATGACAGACTTCGGAGCGTTCACTTTTTGGGGGGTGAGTTTGTTTTGGGAGGATAATTAGAAATTTCAAAATCAATTGAAAGCTGAATGACCAAAGAACACTTTTTGGGGGTGGGGGTGGGGTTGAGAGGCCTGAGAACCTCGGTTGCCTGCGCAAAGCACGGACCGTTCCGTAACCTGAAGTCCCCCCCCCAAAAAAAATACAAATTATGCAGGACTAAAAGTGCCATCAGAGTAAATGACACTGAGTCCTGACATCTCACATTATTACAAGCAAGAAATCGCCACTTTGAGGTAAAGAATTGCCGTGAAGGTAAAATATCTTCAGGGTATCGTCATCTCCTGGTGAGTAGCAAAAAGATGTCGACATCCTGGTTGCAGGATGTCATTATCCCATGATTAATTATATCATGGAAGATGTGTTCTTTCCTCCATGATTATATCACGAAGGCTGCCATCGTGTGATAAACTATCTCGGGATGTCGACTTCATATACTTTAAAGATCCTGTAATAACTTTTTGTAAAAGGATGTTCTTATGCTGTGATTAATCAACTCGAGACGTCAACATCTTGCCGATATGAATGTGTCGTCATCCCGACGAAAAATTGTCAGGATCTCAACAAGTCGATGGCAGGTCCAGGGCTCCGTCAAACAATGCTGCTCCCCAAAAATAAAAACCGCTGTCAAAACTCAGTTAAACAAAGGATGGCAGTGAAAGGCGTCCGTACCTTTAAATCGGGATGTAAACGGACGATTTTTGTAAATACTTGACTCGTGATCTAATCTGTTGACAAAATTTTCTAAATTAGCAGAGAATTACTTACCGTCACCGAAGAGGGGAAAGGTCGCCTGGGATCAAAAGCACGGCCTGCTTAAGTTTAGCAGGTGGTGATATTTACATGCCAAGTTGTCTCGCGTCTCCTACTGCGTTCGACCGACCGTCTCTTTAGGGANCTTTATTTGAAAAAGAGGAGAATGTGGGGCCCAAGAAATTGTGGGATTGTGGAAGAATGGCCCAGGATGAACTCCCCAGATTCAAGAGCTCCCATCCCAGGGCGAAGCATAGAGAAATGCTGTTGAACAATTGTTCCAAGAGACTGAAAAGGTGGAGGGATGTCATTTGAAAAATGGCCGCTAATAACAGACTAGGGAGCCTTCACTTTTTGGGGGGTGAGTTTGTTTTGGGAGGAT